AATTCAATTTCCTTAATAGTTACAAGACTATTCAAATTATCTATTTCATATTGGATGATGAGTTATGGTATTTTTTTTTTTTAGTTATAGTGACCTTTATTTTTTTTCCTCTGTTTTCTAGAATTTGTCCAGTAGTCATATTACTCTGTTTTGATGACTAAAATTTAAACAAGAGACAACAACACAAAGCACAGAAAGTCTTACTGAATAGAAATCTTAGGCCAGATTTTTCTGAACTTAGTGACCTAAACTGTCATCTGTCCTCTGCCCCAGTCAGGAATAAACTATTGATACATGCAACAACTTGGATGCGTCTTAAAGGAATTTCACTGAGTGAAAAAAAACAATTTCAAAGGTTACATACTGTAATGGTTAATTTTATGGCCATCACCATAAAATGCCTGGGCCATGGTGCTCAGATATTTGGTCAAACTTATTCTGGATGTTTCTGTGAAGATTTTTTGCATGAGATTTACATTCAAATTGGTAGATTTTGAGTAAAGCAGGTTGTCTTCTATAATGTGAGTGGACCTCATCCAATCAGTTGAAGGCCTGATAGAACAAAAGTTGACTTCCCTTGAGCAAGAGGGAATTCTCCAGCAGACTGCTTTTGGACTTTATCTGCAATATCTGCTCTTTCTGGTTTTCCACCAGACTGCATATGAATTCAAGCTGCAAGTCTTTCTTGAGTCTCCAGCCTGCCAGCCTCCCCCATCAGATTTTGGACTCACCAAGCCTCCATAATTCCATGAGTCAATTCCTTAAAGCAAATCTCTTCCTATATACATACATCTTATTTGTTCTTTTTCTCTGGAGAACCCTGACTAATACACATACTATATGATTCCATTTATATAACATTCTTGGAATGACAGAATTATAGAAATGGAGAACAGATTAATGATTGCCAGTGTTTAAGAGTCAGTGAAGGAAGAGGGAATTAGGTGTGACTATAAAAAGCTATAAAAAGGTGACACGAGGGCTCCTCGTGGTGGTAGAAATGTTCTGTATCTTGATTACTAAGGTTAATATGCTTGTGAGATTATACTATAGTCTTGTAAGATGTTACCACTGGGGGAAATTGGGCTCTTTCTGTTATTTCTTAGAACTGCATATGAAGCTACAATTATCTCACAAATTTTCATTTTTATAAAGTGGAACGAAATGTTTCTGTTTTGAGGATTTTATTGTAGCCCTCCCTGAGGTCTGGGAGATAAACTGGATTACTACTGAAATGATTAAACAACCCAGCACCTATAAAATGAAACGGCATCATAGTTTTTAACAAGTGAGAAAACGACCAGTCATACTGGGTTCTCCCTTTCCCTTCTCTCCCAAAAGCAATTATCAGCAAGTCCCATCTGCTTCACCCACCAAAATATATACTATATTGAATTTGTTACTTCTCTTTTCCTGCTACCACTATTAATTTTGGTGGTCAATAGCAAGCATGAACTATTGCAATGGGACCGCTCCTCTTTCATGCAAGCTCCCATCCAACCCACCTCCTCACTCAACAGTATGAGTAGTCTTAAAACATATGTTGGAGCATGTTACTCCCAGTGTCAAGTGTCCAGAAGAACATAAAGCAGAGTAACAGTCCAAAGAATGAGTTGGAGAGGGTAGCTGTACCTATCTTAAGAAGCCTGGCTGGGGAGTTCTCACTGAACCATCGTCTGAATGAAGAGAAGGAGCCAGCTACATACAAATCTAGGGGGAGGCACCCTAGGCAGAGGCTCATAGAGTGGAAGGGTGCTGAGCCTGGAACATATTAGACAAGTTTGAGGCCAGTGTGGCTGAGCCCATAGGAGGAAGAGAGAAGGTCTCAGAGTCAGGTAGCACCTACATCAAGTTGGCCTCTTAGGCCGAGGTGAGAAATGTGGGTTTTGTGGTAAGGGTGATTGGGAAGCCTTCGGAGACTTTAAAGCAGGTGTGTATTATGATGTAGTAATAATTTAACTTTTTAAATTCATCTTGACTGCTGTGTCAAGAAGGTACTATAGGGCAAGAACGAGATCAGGGAGGCCAGGTAGACATACCTGGGAGAGACGCTGGTGGTTCGGACCAGAGAGAGATCTGTGGAAAGGCGTGCAGAGAAGAGGATGTGAAGAGTTTGCCCTCTCTCTTTGGCAGGCTACAGTGGGGACAAATTTGGCTCAGAAATCTTAAAATACACTGGCCTTCTTCAGGGACTGGGACCTTCTGACACTCTGTTGCACTCCTAGCTTGGTCAAGTTTGAACTCATTTGATCTGACTCCCAAGAGATGCCTCTGCACTTAACCACATCTGAACCAATCATGGAAGAACACGGCATGGTGAAATAGCTCGTTCCCCCCAACCCCATTTATAGAAAAAGCTACTCTCATTTTACTAAAGGGAAGGATAACAATGAAAAAAAGGGAGGGGGTGTCTTTTCGGTCCTGTCACCACCTAGAAGCTACTAAGATTAAATTAATCGATGAAGTAATTAGAATGTAACCTGGAGGGTTTAAAGTGTGAAGCCAAAAGAACAACCACACAGAGCTGGTTTTGCCCCGCACAGAGGGGTCTTTGCATGATTCTGGGCACTGGTGCACCCTCACTGAGTAGCGCCCACTCCAACAGCAAAGTGCAACGAGCCTGACTTCACCCCACAGCCAGGAAACTTAAAGAAACCTGTGAGGCAGGTCCCGCAGCTCCTCTGGTGGACACTAAAGCAAACTCTCCTGAGAGGCTTATTCTGGATGTTTCTGTGAAGATTTTTTGCATGAGATTTACATTCAAATTGGTAGATTTTGAGTAAAGCAGGTTGTCTTCTATAATGTGAGTGGACCTCATCCAATCAGTTGAAGGCCTGATAGAACAAAAGTTGACTTCCCTTGAGCAAGAGGGAATTCTTGCCACTAGCTATCAGTTGTCTGAGGGCGAAATCAATCAGTGAAAGTGTAACTGAATCCCTCCACTACCACCCTGGAGATAAAGTTTTAGACTATCCCTAGACGGTGCAGAGATTACTCATCCCCGAGCAAGAACAGAACCAGAGAGGCCTTGACTAAACCAAAGGAAGCTGGTCAGGGTGGCTCAAGGTGAATGGCAGGTCTCTCTCCCAATGGGAGAGGAGAATAGTTTCCTGAACAAGTTAAAGACTCACCAGCCCCATGCAGCACTCAAGGCAAATTCCATTTCTTAAAAGGAAAGTTCAAAAGACAAAGGTTGGTAAACCGCAGAGCATAAATATCATTTCTTACAGTGTCACAAAGACATTTGCCCTCAGAGTATCATGTCACTGGAAAATGACTACCAGGGAAACCCTCCTTATTATAGACCACTCTGACAATTGGACGTGCCCATCACCAGCAGAAACTGATGCAGAAAGTTAAGTGTGGCTACCTGGGCGCTTTAAAATCTGATTTCAAAGCTGTTCCCCAAAGATTGGATCTACAACATAGACTGCCTCATGTTATGATTAAACCAGTTAATCCCTGTCAAGTGCTGAGAGCAGCACCTGGCACCCAACAAGACCTCAATAAAGGTTAACAATTAGCCAGGCACAGCAGCATGCTCCTGTAGTCTCAGCTACTCCGGAGGCTGAGGCAGGAGGATCACTTGAGCCCAGGAGTTGGAGGCTGCAGTGAGCTATGATCATGCCACTGCATTCCAGCCTGGGCAACAGAGCCTGAGACCTGGTCTCAAAAACAAAAACCAAAAACATTACCTATCATTATTATTAATATTTATTTATGCTTTTCCACTAAGAAATTATTATATCATGTGTTTGCATTTACATACTCTCACCTTATACATTACAAATGCCTAGCAGGAGAAGGCTCTGTCTTATTTATCTCAGTCACCTCAAAGCATGGACTTGTACTGGGCTCAATAACAGTTTGTGGTTTCAATTGTATTATTTACCTTCTCAATCCAAACATTTCAGGTGTGTCACCTTGCAGAGGTGATAGAAATGAAAAGAGAGTGGCAAAATAAAAGATAAGTGAGATCTGAATCTCTACCCCTTCACTTCCTCATCGTCTATTTCTTTATAGCACCCCTCATTTTGTTGCTGTTTGTCACAATTTTCTGCTGGGAACTGGTTCCATTTGAGCCTCAGTGGAACCACTGACCCTAGTTGTCATGCACAGTTAAAGTTGAATCAGTTTTGATATCTCCTGGACCCCCACAGGGTTTGGATATGATAAAGGATACCTGGAAGTGCACAAGCTCAAGCCATATGAGCAGACTTATTTGAGAGCCCTGCACTATCACCTACAGCAAATGCTTCTTGATGTATACTGAAACAATAATAATGATAGTAATAACAATAACTACCATTTGCTGAGCACTTATTATGTGTCAAGACTATACTAAACACATTCATATATTATCTCATTTCACCCGGCCAGCAAAACAAAATGTATGTTTTGTTATTTCCATTTTATCAGGTGAAAAAACTAAGGCACAGAAAAGTCCCAGTGAGCCACCTGCTTAAGATTACATCTCCCAGTAAAATGCTGGGATTCAGACCCAAGTCCACAACTCTCCAAAGCTCACTTAGGTAACCAGTCAAGTCAACAACGGCCTTCTGGCCACACAGCCCAGCTCTGAACACAAACACCGCAGTACTGGTTCTCTGTGGAGCAAGTGCACTGTGCCTCCCATGCCCTCGTCTTTGTGGTCTCCGCAACACAGCACGGCAGCTTGGCATTTCTCATCTTCTACAAAAGACTCCAAAGATTTCTTTTCATCTGTCCCTAGTTACTGCCTAAACACATGCCTTAAAATGTGACCACCTCTGATTGGTAACTTATGCCTAAGAGACCTGCTCCCATTGTCCTTCTTGGTAGAACAAAGGCATGGAAACCACAGGTTGCTGAGGCCAAGCATTTATCGATAGGTTCCAATCAATATTCAGCCACTGCTATGAAGATTACACTTGGACTCTTTGGTCATGACAGCCCCACTCCTCCCTCACCTTGCTCCTCCTCCTGCAATGTATAACTAGGCTCAGGCAGAGTGTGACACAGGCAGGGACTGGTCAGGTGCATGTGCCACACTTGTTACAGGACCTGGAATTAAGAGGAAGACTCCCAACCCATAAAATGACAGAAGACAAGGTAAAGCAGTATTGTGTTTGTTCTGAATCTGGCTTTGAGGAAATAGGGGAATACATTCAAGTCATATAGAGGATTTGGGGGATGCTAGGTGTAGCCACCACAGATCAAAATTACCTCTCTTTACTTGGCCAACTGATAGTTCATTTAGCTGCTTAAAAAACTGCTTCTTATTCAGTATTTGGGGTTTTAAGGATTTTTGCTGTTTTCTGCCTAGTCTTCAAAATTTTTTTCAAGTGGTTCTGCATAACCATATTACCGAAGAAATGTGCCCCTCCACCAAAAAAAAAAAAGGCAGATTAACCTGAATTTAATCATGAAAACTGATCTGAAATCTTCCAAAATGTCAATGTAGGAAAGACAAAAGAGATAGAAGGGCTGTTTTGGATTGAAAAAAACTAAGAGCTGACAACCAAATGCAACAAGTGATTTTAGATTGTGAAAGGAAGAAGAAAACAGCTATAAGGAACAATATGGGGACAGTTGGGAAATTTTAAATATGGGCTGTATCTCAGATAATATTAGTGTATCAATGTTACATTCTTGGCTATAATAATGGCATTGTAATTATGTAGGAGGATGTCTTTGTTCTTTGTGAGTATATGCTTAAGTATTTAGGATTGAAATGACACAAATATCTGCAGCTCATTTTAAAATGTTTTGGCCAACACACACACAAACACACACACACACACACACAAACACACACACACACACACACACACACACACACACACACACATACGTACACAGTGAAAGTTAAACAAATGTGGTGAATGTTAACCATTGGTGAATAAAGGTGAATGTTATGGAATGTTCACTATACCATTTGGACTTCATTCTAGATATGAACTTTACAAAATAAAAACTTAAAAATAAAAAAGGGTCTAGTGCTATTGTTCCCTTATAAGATTTCCCTAAACAAACTCACTCACCCCCACCCACACAATAATACAAACTGATCAACATGTGCCCCTATTACAGTGTCACCTTTAAGTTCTGATCTGGAAAAACTCACCCTCCTGAACATCCCTCATGTCATTAGGTGGCACGGTCAAGAGCACTGGCTCTGGAGTCAGTCAGAGGTTGGTCCGGGTTCTAGTAATGTCAGTTACCTGCTGTAAGATTTGGGTTAAGTTATTTAACTGAGCTTTGGGTTTTCTCTATTAAGAGAAAATAAGATTGGGATATAATATGGGATATTTAGGGATTATACTAGCACTTTAGGTTTTGGGATAATTAAAAGAAAAAATATTAAAGAGGCTTAGATGACAAACATTTTAATGTAAATAGTTATATGTTTATATAATGTGCAAAGAATAACTAGCAAGTCATGATTTCATTAATATTATATATATTATAGCCCATTAATATTAAAGCTAAAGTAGTTAGAACCTTAAAGATAATATAAATATTAAGTTAATAGCTATACAGATGGTATAGATAGCTATATAGATTTGGCAAAATTCATGCAGCTAATATTCCAATAACTAAAGTTTGGAAGATACTGAAAAAAGGAAGATAATGTGCTTAACACAGTGCCTGGCAGATAGCAGATGCCCAAGCTTCATTTATAACTATCATCAAATTCTCTTAGTGGCTTTAGAAATTGTGTTGTAGGACTTTTCTTGAGAACCAAGGAATTGCCTCATATTAAATCCCAAAAAGAATGAAAACTGATGTAAAGCACAATGTTTTTCAACTTTGTGAATCTACCCAGACTTTGAAAGAAGTAGGATAAGCAAGGGACTGAGGGTCAAGAAACCTGAGTTATCTCCCTAGGTATATCAATCATGCCCACAGAACTCAGGCAAACAACTTGGCCTATGGAACTGCACTTTCTACAACTGAAGAACAGAGGAATTAGACAAGAACCCATTGCTTTCTAAAGTCTCTTTCAACTTGAAAATTCTGTGGCTCAAGAAGCCCCTGGCCTTTTCCAAAGTTGGGTGCAAGATCACCTTTGGCTTGGTTTTTGGAGGCATGTAGTTTAAAGGAAAGGATATGAGCTTCTCCTCCCTACCTGGTAGTTGCTGGAAAATCTGCTCTTTTGTTTAGCACTTGGGCTTAAGAACATTAGCTCTGGGTTCCCATACTAGAGTATCTGTTATTTACTAGCTGTATGGTGTTAGGCATGACCCTTAATCCTCTCTGAGCCCTGATTTCCTCACCTGTAAAATAGGAATAATTTAATGTACTTTGTAGTATGTTGTGAAGATTATTGGTGAGTATGAAAAGTTGACACGTGGTTGTTTGGCAAAAGCAACGAATGAGATGATAATGATGTGATTAAAGATGCATTTGTTCCATAGCCCTCTCACTATTTATAGAATGACCGCATTATTTATCCTATTTAGTTTTTATGATAATCCTATACATTAACTGCTTTTATACCCATTTTATAGGCAAAGAAACTTAGGCTCAGGGATATTATGGCCTGTCTGGAACGCTTTTCTATGTTTTCTGATTCCCACATCTACTTGTTTTTTTTTAATAGACCCCATATGACTTGTAAGCCACAAATAAACAAAACATTTTGTTCAACCATTTGCTTATTCTACCCTTCTACATTTATCCAACAGCATATTTTATATTAGACACAGAATCTAGTTTCTCTAACTTAAAATTATAAAGCTCTAAATGGAGACAGATTTTTTAAAAGTGCAAGCTTAATGCCTTGTAGCCTGTGAAGAAGTTAAAAGGCTTGAAGATCTGCCACTTAATAAGCATGTAGCCCTCAATGTGAAAAGATAATAATAATTCTTACCTACAGGGTTGCTGAGAGAACAGGCAAATCATTTAGAACCACAGAGCCTGGACAGAATAAGATCCTCTCCAAATTCTTGCTATTTTCATTAGATCTCATGTCCTTCTCCTTGTGTCAAACCTCTTGGACATTAGAGTGGATGGATGAAGGTCGATAGGGCTTATTGAGACTTAACTGTTTCAGAAATTTCCCTTCTCAGAACAAAACTTCTCCAACCAAGTCTAGAGCCAAGTCACATAGAAAACTGACTATAAATGTTACTTCTTTGAATTTCGCAACACTAGAGAAAGAAACGATGGGGAGCAAGGAGCCAGTTTAACATGATGTTCAGAGAGGGAAATTAAACCTGAAAATAAGGGGTAAATAAAAAGCAAGCAAAAAGGAAGCACAATCAAACAGTATTAGAGACTTTTTGATATTTAAGATGACTGCATTAATTGGAAATTCTCAGGAATTCAAGTGACCTGCTAAAAATGGATGCAATTGCTCCTCACCTGACCAGCCGGCTGAAATTCTATCCTGGGGAGTCAAAGTAGGGAACTGCAGGCCCTGGGGTGGCAGGACCACAGCCAACTCCAAAAAAGAAACCAGGAACACCAGAGGAAAAGAATAAGACTTCTAAACATTTAAAAATTCTCCTATATCCTTCATAGTTGCTATTTTTAATTATTCTCATAACATGAGAAATTGATCTAGAATTTCTATAGTAAGGACTTAGAACAATCTGATTGGAAAGGAATAGGATGGGACATCGAGTATCTTTAAACATTAACTTTTATGTTTGTCAAAGTAACATAGGAACAGATAACACAGTTGTGACTTAGACTGTGAATCTGGGGTGACAGGGGAGGGCTGATGCAGATTATGGGGGAGTAAACCTGCTGCAGCCACCACCACCCCAGACTTCCGTTTCTGTGGCACCCCGACTCACCATTGGCATGGTCACTGGTTGGACTCTTAAGAAGAAAGAAACTCCACGCTTATGTGGCCGAGGAAGAGGGAAAGAGCCAGCAGAAAGCAGAAGCCCAGGCATGGAGTGGCAGGTGGCAGTCACTAAGAAACCAAGTGCTTGGAGACTCTGTCATAGAAGAAAAGAGGATTCAGGGATGAGCCTGGGCAAGTATTTCATGGCCCTGGGCTTGTGGTGGGAAGACCCTGAGAATCCTCTTTAGCTTAGCCACAGATGAGCAGTTGAACAGCCTTGGCCCTTTTGGACTTTTGCTCACAGACCTCACAAAAGACCTATGAGTAGGTGAGAGGGAGAGGATTTGTGTGGTAGTTAGTGGGAAAACACACTTGAGATTGGTGGGCATTGGGAGCTTTGGCTTCAAAAACATCACAATTGGCAAATTCTATAAACATGTGCACTCTGAGATTTTTTTTTTTAATTTATAAAGATTATGACCCCAGATTTTCATTATGTGCTTGACTTTTGGATGTCTGTTTCTGACCAATGAGGGATGCAAAATAACCAAGAAGTTAAAAGCATAAGCTCTGGATCCAAGTCATTATTCTATAACTTGCTAGCTGTGAGATGTTAACCTAATCTAGCTATCTGTAAAATGGGGACACTAATGGTGCTGCCAGGGGGTGTATGGTAGGCAGGATAATTGGCCTCCAAAAATGTCCACAGCCTCATCACCAGAACGTGTGAATATATTAACTTATATAGCAAAGGACTTTGCAGATGGGATTACTGTTACAGATCCTAAGATGAGGAGATTTTCCTGGGATATCCAGATGGGTCAAATCTAATCCCATGAAGTCTCAAAAGGGAAGACTTTCCCCAGCTGTTGTCAGTGTCAGAGAGATGCAGTGTGAGAAGGACTTGGGCTGCCCTTGCTGGCTACAAAGATAAAGGAAAGGCACCAAGGGATGTGGTGGCCTCGAGAGCTGGGAATGGCCCTTAGTTTGCAGCCAGGACAAACACGCAGACCTTGATCCTACAACCATAAGGAAGTGAATTCTATCATCAACCTGAATTTTCTCCAACAGCCTCCAGAAAGGAACGCAGCCTGCCAACACCTTGATTTTAGTCCAGTGAGACTCCTATCAGACTTCTGACCTACAGAACTTTAAGATAAATAAATCTGTGCTGTTTAAGCCACTAAGTTGGTGGTAATTTGTAATGGCAGAAACAGAAAACTAACACAAGAAGCAAATGAGACAATCCACCTACAGCAGTGACAGGAATGCAGTAAGCATAGACAGTCAGTGTTAGGCTTTGGGGCTGCCTTTGCATCGTGCCTCACATCAGATTGTCCAGATTATAGTGAGGGAGGTATGAGGGAAAGGAGTTAAAGCACTCCCCAGGCACCCTTCCCTCCTCTCACTGCTGATGAAATAGGCTGAAAATCAGTTGCAAATAGGATGAAAATCCCTGTCCTTGGAAACAGCTTGAGAGGAAAAAGGATTTGAGGAGAAACCACCAACCAAATAAATGGGCCCTGTCTTAGCCTTGGCTATCTAAGCCTCAGTGTGGGGAGGCTGATGAATGGCTCTCACATTCTCCAATGAACACCTGCCTGCCAGGAGCACAGGGCATACTGCGAATGGACATCGCAGGGAAAAAACCAGCCCATGGAGCCTGTGAGAAGTCCAAGCTGCAGCCTGGCAGGATTGATGAGTAACTGAAATTGCCTGGTGCTTCCCAGCTCTGTGTTTCTCCCCCACAGGTCACTGGGATCTTGATTTTCGCTGTCTTCACTGCAGCACTGGGCTCCTTCCAGTTTGGATATGACATTGGTGTGATCAATGCACCTCAACAGGCAAGTGAAACATGTACAAGTTCTCTTTTTGGCAAGTTCTGTCAGTGATAGATATCATACGTTCCTCATACACAGAGATAAAGTGTGTCCATGTGGGAGACACGAGGTGATCCTGGCCTGCCAGGTATGATATGCAGGTTCCAAAGCTATAACTTGGCCTTGACTCCTCAGTTAACAATCGCAGAAAAAAAAAGAGGCAACATAATTCTTAATCTCTGACTCTGCTGTGGCTGAGCTCACAGAAAACTCCAGTCAGAATAGCACGTGCCCAAGGATGTTTTTTAAGGGGGGAAAAAAAAGCTTATTGCAGCAGTTTTCATTCAGAGCTCTCAGCCATACATGAATAAAAAGTGCCAGAGAATAAGACGAAACAATAGAAGGATATGTTTCACTCAGTGTATATTTATTGAGCACCTACTTATTTGCATCAGATGCTTTAACCTATGCTCTCCACAACTGGATCCTCCCAACCACATTATTATGCTCATTTCCAGCCCAGATTAAAACCTTTAGGAGCCCTAACGCTAAAAGAGATTAGAGTTCTTCCCCCACTATTCCTGTCTCCAACAGATGATCCAAAGTAAAACAATGCAAAACTTTAAAATAATAGTCAAGAAGTCCAACAAAGTTTGGATTTTCTTCATGATGACTATTTGGATGGGCATTTTTTTTTCCTTTTTTTGAGATAGTGTTTTGCTCTGTCACCCAGGCTGGCATGCAGTGGCACGATCATAGCTCACTGCAGCCTCAAATTCCTGGGCTTAAGCAATCCTCCTGCCTCAGCCTCCCGAGTAGCTGGGACCACAGACACATGCCACCACACCTGCCTAATTTTTTAATTTTTTGTAGAGGTGGTATCTTGCTATGTTGCCCAGGCCGGTCCTCAACTCCTGGCCTAAAGCAATCCTCCTGCCTCGGCCTCCCAAAGTGCTGGTATTACAGGTGTGAGTCACCACACCAGGCCCTGGGTGGGTATTTTTTAATATCAAATAATTTCAACATTTTTTATTATTTATTTTGTGCATCCCTGCTCTGGTATCCAGTGAACAGACAGCAGAGCTGTGTTGTTGTTCTCAGATCCCACAGCCTGTAAGTGGGATTTCATTCTCCTCTGCTCTAGCTCAGGAGGTCAGGTCATTGAGGGCAGGATTGATATCTTGCTCCTCTTCCTATCACCAGTGCCAAGCACAGCAGTCGGCAACAAGAAAGTACTCAATAAAGCGTTTAATGAATGAAGGGGTTGGCAGGGGGCGTGGGGAGAGAGAGAGAAGGAATCTGGGGAAGGGGTGGCACAAAGTGAAGTTACAACAATTTGTTGGGTGCCTTCTATAAATCCATCATATTTCCTTTGCTTCTTTTTCAACATTGGGCTCCAAGGAAAATGCAAGATAATGCAGGGTGTAAATGTGTGAAATGTGTGCTGGCCACAATCCGTCACCCGAAAAGGGCTGCTTCCTAGGCTAAAAGATGTGCCCCAATTAGGTGCCACACATCATCACGAGTGTGGCAGGACTTGCCATGGTTGGGACGTCCCGGCAATAATGCTGGGGGGTCAGGAGACCAGGGTCACATCTTTTTTGTGTGGGTGATGACAACAAATGCCAATTTAGCAGGAATTGAGTTCAACACCACCATGACTTGGAATTGATAGAGCCCCTTCTCTTTTTGTGGAAGACCTTTTCACATCCTTATTTGAACATCCTCTCCAGTCTTAGAGGGAAACTTAGGCTAAGATCTCCCCTTCTTCAGTCCAAGTCCCAGAGCCAGAGCTGCGAACCGGGATCCCTGTACTCGCATCCAGGTTAGTGCCCTCTCCATAGTCCCTTCCTGTGTGATTAAAGAGCTGCTTAAACATCATTAGATAAGAATGATCATTTAGGCCCTTTATTTTTTTATCAGCTGAATGACATTTGAAGTTATTTTAAGGTATTTTCAACTCACAGTTTCTTATGGTTATGAAAATTACACATGGTTATTGTGGAAAATATTAGAAAAAAATTATTCTACCACAAGGAGCAAACTGCTGAGAATATTTTGTATATTTCCATCTAGACTTTCTCTATGCATATTGTCCATATAGGGTGGTCTTCTAATGAAGTAAATGTCTTTATCAGACTTCTTTTATAAGAGGATATTCAATTCTCCTTCTCACTCAGCTGATGTTACCCAACAGGACTTTGCCCATAGGTGGTAACCAAGAGCAGCAGCTGCATTCCAGGTCCTTGCAGAGAGTACCCTCCCAGGTCACTGATGCTGAGTAGTGATCAAAGCATCATTGAGAGGAATGACATGGGAGGACGATGGCCTGGAGAATGTGCTTTTACTCGATTATACTTTGGTATGACATTTGCCTCTACTGAAGTACATCATAAACTATAGCTCTGTGAAATTTAGTTTGATTGTTATTCATTCTGTTACACACTGAACTCTATGAAGACCCACAGGAGAAGCTTCTGTCAGGTCTCAATACCTTCCCAAGGGCCATTTTATCTTTGGAATTCATCAATCCTATACCTATTTTTTTCCTCTCTTTGCACTAGCTGCTAGGAAATTTATTGGTAAATGTATAGCTCACATCTGGCAAGGATACAACATCTAGTATTTGTATTTTGTAAACTGACTTTATTTTTGACCCTCATCTTTCCTAACCTTTTTTTATATCCACTTTGATGTTTCTATTAAAATATTTATGCAAGTCAATATAATATAAACCCTGCTGTGCAGAAGGAACACTGGTATGAAAATGTATCTTTTTAACCTGCAGAATATTTTCAGTTTCAATAGTTGCCAACATTTAAAACTTAAAAAATTTTACAGAAAAACCAAGATTCCTGGCTTCTATTAAAATATTAAAGGTCAGTGCAGATGTCTTCTTTATACAATGTCTTTTGTTCCTTTGGGTAGATGCCCAGTAATGGGATTGCTGGGTCAAATGGTAGTTCTACTTGTATCTCTTTGAGGTGTCTCCATATTGCTTTCCACAGAGGTTGCACTAGTTTGCAGTCCCACCAGCAGTGTGGATGTGGAAACAACCCAAGCGTCCATCAATACACGAGTGGATTAATAAAATGTGGTGTATGTAAACCATGGCGTACTATTCAGCTATAAGAAACAATGGTGATAAAGCACCTCTTGTATTGTCCTGGACAGAGCTGGAACCCATTCTACTAAGTGAATTATCCCAAGAATGGAAAAATAAGCACCACGTGTACTCACCATCAAATTGGTTTTAACTGATCAACACCTAAGTGCACCATAGGAATAACATTCATTGGGTGTCAACAGATGGGAAGAAGGAGGAGGGGATGGGTATATACATACACAATGAGTGCAATGAGCACTGTCTGGGGGATGGACACACTTGAAGCTCTGACTGGGGTCGGGGAAGGGCAATATACGTAACCTAAACATTTGTACCCCCATAATATGCTGAAATAAAAAATAAAAAATAAAATAAAAATAAAAAAAAATATTACAGGTCATCCAACACCAGTCTTGCACTTGCAGCTTCCTCTGTTAGGTGGGGTAAATGCTCTCCAGTCCCACAATCCTGACCACTTCCTATTATATCCCCAATAATAGAGAATATATTTCAGTCCTCTAGTCATCAAGGTGCTCCATGCTTCCTTCATTTATTTGTTCCTGCCTGGTTCCTGCTGGCAATGGAATTTGTGACCTCTGTTTTATAGGATATGATCAACTATAAATAAATCTATCCATGTTTGTATGTGTATAGCACACATAATTGGGATGGTCCTATTTAAACACCTAACAAACATTTTAAAAGAAAAACAAAAATATATAGAATGTTTGAAATAATAAAGCTATTTCTCTTTATTTCCTCAGATAATAATATCCCATTATAGACATGTTTTGGGTATTCCACTGGATGACCGAAAGGCTATCAACAACTATGCCGTCAACAGTACAGATGAACTGCCCACGATCCCATACCCAGCGAACCCAACACCAAACCCTGGGGCTGAGGAAGAGACTGTGGCATCTGCTAACCTAATCACCATGCTCTGGTCTCTGTCTGTATCCAGCTTCGCAGTTGGTGGAATGATTGCATCATTCTTTGGTGGGTGGCTTGGGGACATATTTGGAAGGTAGGCAAATTTCATAAATAAGCATAAACATAGAAATGTTAATGTTCTGGTTTTGTTTAGAAAAACATTACCCTTTCTGAATAGTTTTAGAGTTGTTTTTTGATTCATGACCCTATGAGCCAGGTCAGTGTTAGATCAAATCAATGGAAAAAGCTGTTGCAACAATCTGGTTAATCATTCAGGCATTTACAGCGAAACTGAGTTTGTGTATATTTCTAGATAATTGCTTTGATCCTCTGATTCTGTAAGTTATAAAACATATTAGAAAACTACTGCACAAATGGTTAACTCAAGGAGTCAGCAGAAGAGTCTAGATTGAAATTTTTAACCTGGGAGTTCAGTGTTTGCTTCATCAAATCGCTCCATTTCTCAGATATCCAGTTTTTCATTTTTAAATTAGAATTTGGCATTTGGATCAGTCAAGTCCAAAGGTTCAGTCAATATCCCCAACTCCCAGTTGCCCAGTGTACTTGGCATGGGGCTTCTAGTAGCTGCTACTACTTCTATCTCAAACCCTGAACCAAAGAGGAAGCAAGAGCTATCTCTATTTCTCAACTCTGGTTTCTGTTAGTGTTTTGGATTGAAAACATCAGTGGAACTCCTTTACCCTCAAATTTTACTTAGCCATGCCGTATACTAAAGGTGTTGAGATTTCCTACCCTACATAGAAAGAAAATAGTTAGAAAATAAAATGATTATTTCTTTAGGTTTATTTTCTGCTCTTTGAGCCAAGCTATTACGTATTAATTGCCGTTCTCCTCATGATAAAAGTAATATATGCCAAATGAGAAAAATTTAAAAAATGAAAATATCTTTAAAGATATAAACAATATAGGAAACTAACTTAATAATTTTGGATTATAATTTATCCAGTTTTTCTAATTCCTATTATGAATTATAACTTTAAGCTCTAGTTATCAAAATTCTGGTAACTTCCTCTTATCCTGGAGCTTTTATATGACTGTGAGAAGTTTTCTTAACCAAAGGGTATCATAGTAGCTCAAGTTTTATTATTATTCTTATTTGAAAAGGAGTTTCCTTCATCATATAAGAAAGTGGTCAATTTCTTACATTTTTATCAACTTACTGATGTTTAGTTGAACTTTAAATCAGAATCTGTAAAATATAGAATAAATTGAATTTCATCATTTAAAAAATTTAAAAATCATTTCAATTAGTACCAAATTGGTTTAAGTAGTAAATGGAGAATTTTCTAGGTTAATGATTTCTAAAGTAAATCAAACAAAATTAAATTAAATTTTAAAATATGAATAAATCAATTATTTCAGCAGCTACTGATATTTTATACTACTTCTCATTCCTAAAGAAAAGATTTAAACCCTTGTTGCTCCTCATTTAGAGATGAGATTCTGACAGGTCCAATGACTAACACTAAAGCATTTAATTAGTGTCTAGTATTGGAGCCAGGATGTATATCCTCTGAAGTCTTAGGATTTAGCCTCAACAATGGCCATACCCCAAAACAATGTCAAATGACCATGTATCAAATGACCAATGGTGAGCAAAAAGTGAGGTTTCTTCTAACTCTCAGTAGAAAAGTGATCCTCGTTGGGAAACAGCCATAAAATTCATAATTTCAACTTCAAAATTAAGATAAAAGAGCTCAGTGTCTTCCATAAAATTATTTCTGTAGGGACACTCATTGGGAAATGACATGATTTTCCTTATTACCAGTGTCATTTCTTCACTAGTTAAAAGTAAATAAATAAAAATATATTCCTTCCATTATTGCTTTAAAAATTTATTTTCATTGCAGTTGCATAATAGTTATAGATGTCTCTGGCCACCATTGTATAGTTTGGGGTCCATTTTTCTAAGCTGTGTATTTATAATTTAATTATAGGCATGTGTGGGGAAGACCATGGTTTATGCACTCCACACTACCATGAGTAAAGGGAACTATACATAGCTTGCCTTTGGGCGCATGCATTCTTTTCTATCAAAAATGGAGCTCATTAAAATGAAGCATTAACCTTTGGTTTCACACAGATCAAGTCCCAGCTCTGTCACTTAATAGCTGTATGAAAATGAGCAGATTACTTAGGTTCTCTAAGAGGTTCTTCTCCCATGCACTGCAGGAAAAAAATAATAGGCCAGGCACACTGGCTCATGCCTGGAAGTCCCAGCTACTTTGGAAGCTGAGGCAGGAGGATCACCTGTGCCCAGGAGATCAAGGTTATAATGAGCTATGATGGTGCAACTGCACTCCAGCCTGGGTGCAGAGCAAGACTCTGTCTCAAAAAAAAAAAAAACCCAAAAAAACAAAAACCTACCTCACTATCTCATGGCATTATTGTGAGGATTAAATGAGAACAAATACAAAGAGTTTAGCACAATGCCTAGCATATATTAAGCAGGCAGCAAATGCAGTCTTATTTTGATTATGATGATGATGACGATGATAATGACCATGACAATGTTGAAGCCTATGCTATCGGAAGTATTTAGAACCAGATTTAAAGAAATATACTTAGAGTTAAAATTCTTTCTTCCTGATTCAACTACTTCATATTTTTTTATTATTTATTTGCAGCCATTTCTCACATCTAAACAGAAGTTAAAATAATTTAGGTTGTATAAAGTGCTCCAGTATCCATTGCTGGTGGTAGAGAAAAGGAACTTTAGGGCAATCTGGCATCAAAAGTCCTTTCAGGCTATTTCTTTTATGACTTTTTATCTTTTTCCCCCTAATAAAAGGGACTATTAGCTAGCTGGTAATAACTTTTTAAGGTAAATTATTGAACTTGCCTGCCCTCTGTCCCTGTGTAGATGAAAAGCATTTCACAGTAGTCTGAGGAGAGAAAGACCCCTTAGCCGTCTTTCTACTCTGCAGCTCTGAGGCCAGCCAGCTCTAAGTCACCGTTTCTCCTGCCTTTAGGCAGTTAATGATTTCCTTACGTTAGAGTCCTATTGCTGCTGTAATGAATCACCAATGCAGTGCCTTAAGACATCACAAATGTATTTTCTTACAGTTTTGAAGGTCAGAAGTCCAAAATCAGTTTCAGTTGGCTAAAGTCAAGATGTCAACAGGGCTGGTTCCTTCTGGAGGCTCTGAGAGAAGAATTCGTTTCTTGCCCCTTTCCAGCATGCAGTGGTCACCTATAGTGCTTGGCTTGTGGCCCCTTCCTACATCTTTGAAGCAAATCACTCCAAACTCTACTTCTGTCATCACATCACCTCCTCTTGTGCTTTACTCTTACAAGGACACTTGTGATTGTATCATTGGGTTCCCTTGGATAATCCAAAATAATCTCCCCATCTCAAGGTCCTTAATCACATCTGCAATATCTGTTTTGCCATATAAGGTAACATTGACAGGGTGTGAGTATTAGGATATGGACTCTTGTAGGGACATTATTCACAGCCTATCACATGGCTGTTGGGCAATCACTGCAGTATGAGGTCATATAGTTTTACTCTCCAGAAAGAAAAATCTGTTTAGTGTTAAAGATACTTGCTTAGAAAAAGCCTATCTGTCAAAGTTTGAAACACTGAAATAGAATATAACAAGGTGTTTATATTTCTGTGTAGCACAAACATTTCCTCATCTGTCCACTCAGATTTTTTTATTGCCCTTATTATCTGCTTAACTTTGAAGAAGGTTTTTCTGTATTGTACTTTCTCATTAAATATGAATGAAAGTATCAGATACCTGCAAATGTCAATTTTCATGTGATAAATTTTGAAAATGATGTTTTTATTGCTACTGTCAACTTTATTATGTATTTTACATTGGTTGACATTATAGATTCTGGAAATATGCTGGTTTACAGTGTTAAGGATAATTATAATTTCTCTATCATAAGGCTTAAAACAAAACTATATTTTACTTTCAAATAACTTATAAAATTTAATTTGGAAAGCTCCTTTCCTATCTATATCAACTACCACTGAAAGGAAAAACAAAGAGAGGAAAAAAAAAGGGAGAAACAAGTTGTAGGTTACAACTACAGAATTAAATCTAGCTATCACCAGATAATTATTCTTTAAAACAATCAACTTGAAGAAAATTTAGTTAACTCTTTGAAAAACTGTTTAAAGTATTATCCTAAATCAAACTAGTCATCACTGTGATTAAATAATCTCTACCAAAACATGGAGATCAGGTGGATGCAACCTAGGTTCTTTCATCATAAATACTGCTTATTGTTAATACTTTAGTCCATAGATGAATCAAAGTAGCAATCTTGGTTCAAAATTCCCCAACTAGCTCTTTTGTGTGCATGTGTGTGTGTCTGTGTGAGAGAAAGAAATAGAGAGAGAGAGAGAGAGAGAGAGAGAGAGAGAGAGAGAGAGAGAGAGAGAGAGGGTCTCACTCTGTTGCCCAGGCTGATCTCAAACTCCTGGGCTCCTCCCACCTCAGCCTCCTGAGTAGTTGGGACTACAAGTACATGCCACCACACCTGACTTCCCAACCAGCTTGCTTATGTAGCAAAATTAAAATAATTGCTCTTAGGTAAAAATCTCAACATGCTCTGAAAGTAAATAATTTTATGAAGTTTTGCTGCTAAATTTATAATTCTTAATTTTTAAAATTTCAGAATCAAGGCTATGTTGATAGCAAACAGTTTGTCGTTAGTTGGAGCTCTCTTGATGGGGTTTTCGAAATTGGGACCATCTCATATACTTATAATTGCAGGAAGAGGCATATCAGGACTCTACTGTGGTAAGTCACACACACATACACACACCTCTTCGTCTGAAAATTACTCTAAAGGCAGATGTGGTAACATGCACGGATATTTTTGAGCCTAGGGTGACATCACAGAGGGAAAGGTAATAGCATAATGTTGAAATCCTGAGTCAGGAAAGTTTGGTACCAGTAAATAGGAATTATGCTATCTAGGTTCTTGTTCATTGCAATGACATCATTTCTAGTTATATGATCTCAAATTATTTAACTCTGTTTATTATCTCAGACAAATTTTTAACACTGACTCTCAGTTTCTTCCTCTAATAAACTAAGTGGATAATAATATCTACCTGATAGGGTGCTTGTGAGAGAATACATATAAAATGTTCAGTGGAGACTCTGACATCTAGCAAGTTGCCGACAAATGCCAGCTGTTGTTCTTACACCTGTGGTGCAGTAGACAGTGGAAGACTGCCACCCCCAGACCCCTAACTCTGCCCTTATGGCCTACCTGGCTGCTTATGCCTCCATCTCTCATATCTTCACACCCTGAACCCAGCTCTTGGACTACATCCTCCAGCCCTGTGGAGAATGGCTGAGTGAAGCATTAAAGTGGTGGTGTCCATGGGAAGAAGGAACCAGACAGAAGCAGCTAGAAGAGTGTGGAATGGTGGAGGAACGCTCCTCCCGTGAACTTGATACTGCACAGTGGGAATCGCTAGTTCTTGGAGACAGCTTTTCAAACTTTCAGAGGCAACTAATTAGCAGAGGTCTGAACAGGGAGGATCACTCAACCTCTAAAACAAATGGCCAAATTGTTAACTACTGCCAATGAAGCCCTGATTCTGATGGTGCTGTGCTGAGGTTTAAGCCCATTTTCACAAACTGTAGTTGCCTTGCAAAGCACCAACATCCACTGGGGATGGGGAAGGAACGGTGAGGGCACAGGATTTGTGTGCGAAGTATTTTCAACACTTTTACCTGCAGAAAAGACTTTAATTCCATGCGTCTTCAATGATGAGTTGAAGCAAAAGTCTAAAATACTCACAAGGTAATAGTTCAATTAAATCTCCTTTCATTATTTTCAATGTTAATACAAATAACTGAAGGTCAGGGTAGTTTTATTGAGGTGAAGAGTCAGCCCACACATGGAAAGAGCTTTGGATTTAGAGTGAATCAATTCTAGCACTGTCTTTGCATGGTCTTAAATATTAAATGGGAGCTTCAGTTCTTTCTTCTGTAAAACACAGATAATAAGACTATAAAAGAAGTCCAAATTATAATTCTTCTTTCTTTTCTCTCCATTTGAAAAAATACAGTGTGAAAAAAAATCACAAAATATTTTTGTCACAGGCATTCTTAGCAGTCAGGTAAAAACTTCCCATTCCCTACTGCACTTCTACTTCATCCATCCTCTCCTGCCCTGACTGTCCAGTCTCACTGCAAACCAGCACAGAGAAAAAAAACAGCTCCACCAGTGGTAGTGGAGGGAGTAAAGAGACACAGACTGTTTAGCTCAAAGGTAAAATAAATGTGAATTTATTTTCACAAATGTGAAATATAAACATATTCACAATATAAACATATTGTCAAACAACCTATTAATGTAACTAATATAACCAAGTAACTAGTACCTCTCTAACCATCTTCCAAAATTATGTCTGGCCCTATCATGAGCATTAAAGTTGCTAAAATTATAGTAAATATAAAAAATTAAAAATTTTAGTAAATATAAAAATTATAGTAAATATAATTTGTCTTCAGATTCATGTTACCTCAGACCTGTGAGCTTATCTGCATTATTCTGTTCTTAAGGTATAGTGTTAGGCATTACTGAAAGATAGTACAACTTAGAATAGGACCTAATAAATGGTTTTTTTCTTATTTAAGATCAACAGGCCTCACATTAGAGTTACCTGTAAAATTCAGCAGAAATACAGATGCCATATCAACCATGTAAATGTTCATTTGAGATACTAAGAACAATTTGAAGCATTAAAAAATATATATATTGAAAACAATTGCCAAAGACATTTTTTTACACAAAGACCATCCATTTCCTTTTGATAAGCAGGTAGTCTCTACAAGGAAGCCTCTGACAAATCATATTTTCAAATTCTTAAGAAAATGCCAAACATTGAATTCAGCGTTGCCTATTAATAATCTCTGACCTTATAATGCAATCAGCAAATGGCTGGACACTCCATTTCCAACATGACTGATTTACATGCACAGTTAAGAAAGCTTCAGAAGGCAGAATGGCCTAATGCTTTTCAATTTTTTTATATTCCTTTAAGCACCAAAAGTCGTTCTTCAAATAAAATCTTCTCTGATGCCTAGTATTTGGATACAATAAAGAAGTTAGGTTTCTTTGGCTGGATTAACTGGGGGAAGAGTCCTTGAGTTCATTAACCTCTTCCACATCTCTACACTCCCCACCCTATCACCACCTTAACAGTGATCTTGATGACCCCACTTTGTGGAAATTCAGATGGGGCATGTAGTTTTCATGCTAATGCTCTATGGCACTGTAATCTTGGGCAAGTCATTTCTCACTTCTATCAAGAGGTTGACCCAGATATGTTCTAATTTCCTTTAATCTCATGAGCCTACATGAAGGATATTATAAAAATATTTTTCATTTTCTTTTCTGAAGACAACCTAAGGGCCTATGATATAAACTAAATATTAACATAGATTTTTTTTAACTAAATGAGACAATGCGATGAAGAATTGCCAAATACATGACTAAGCATTTCTTTCTATGCCTATTTCTGGCTACAACTTCATTTGGGGTCATATCAACAAATATCCTTTGCATAAACTGTGTGTCTATGGTTAGGTACAAGGGCTCTTTCTTCCAGTGAACTCAGGAAGGACTTCAGTCAGGATAGCGACTGTATAAACCAAATTATTGTTATTGAGATAGTCCTGGCAACACTTTAACATTTATGTTCATATTTCATGCAGGGCTAATTTCAGGCCTGGTTCCAATGTATATTGGTGAAATTGCTCCAATCCCTCTCAGGGGCGCTCTTGGTACTCTTCACCAGCTGGCCGTTGTCACAGGCATTCTTAGTAGTCAGGTAAAAACTTCCCATTCCCTACTGCACTTCTACTTCATCCATCCTCTACTGCCCTGACCGTCCACTCATTGTAGAACAGCACAGAGGAAAAAAACAGTTCCACCAGTGGTAGTGGAGGGCGTATTGAGACATAGACTGTTTAGCTCAAAGGCAAATTATTACCACTCCTCACTTTTCCCCTTAGAATTGTTGGTGGGATCAGCACTGAAGGTGACCCGGCAAGTCAGGTCCCACAATCCATAGTATTCTAGAATTAAATTATTCTGTTTAGATTTCAAGAAATAGGAAACTTCAAGTTTTTGACTGCTTGCGTTTCCTTTGTTTTGAGCATCTTATCTGGGAATATAATATGTAAATGATTACCACAGGAGCTCTTGTTCAGCTGGCTCTATCCTTCCCTTCTACCCTGCGGTCTCGCAGGAAGACCTTGGACCCCATGCCTAGGACAATCCAGAGGGTAGTGTGTAAACTACTGACACAGGGATCACAAAACTATTAAATAGTTCTCATCAGAGTAACTGCTCTGTCTATAAAACCCCACTCTATTTAAGTTCTGGGTAATCTAAAAAGGAGTTTTCAAGCAAAAGTCCAAAGTTATGCATGATTTTAATACAGTATTCCATCTGGTTGCCTGGAGACTACAGCCATGTGTGTATCCAATCTTTTTAAAAAAAAGTTTGGCTGATTCCCATCCTAACTGTTTGATAAGAGTTAATGAAAGCAAACCTAGGTGAATTCTTTGTAAAACAAATAATCCGTAATTTAGTTAAGGTGTGACACAATAGTAATAGTTTTCATCTTGTGCTTACTTGAACCAAAGTTGTCAGGGATTACTACTAAATAGCTGATGTACTTTTTCATAAAATCATTGTAGAAGGTAGATTCAAAATGTTGTGCAGTTGGTAGCTTCTCCCCTGCCTTTTCAGATTGCTGGCCTTGACTTTATCCTGGGCAGTCATGATCTGTGGCACATCCTTCTTGGTCTGTCTGCTGTGCGAGCCATCCTCCAGTCTCTGCTACTCTTCTTCTGTCCAGAAAGTCCCCGATATCTTTACATCAAGTTGGATGAGGAAGTTAAAGCAAAGAAAAGTAAGTCTGTGTGGTTTTCCTTTCTTCCTATTGTTTTGTCATTTTCAGCTAAAGCAAAACAATGTTCCTAAATGGTTGCTTGTGAAATTAGTACCAGTACCTTCCAAATGAAGTCATGTAAGAAAAATGTGTAAAATCATTTTAACAAGGCTGGCACATGCCATTTTCCACCCATAAGCTCACTCAAGCCCAAACCAGAAACCCACATGCAGGCTATTAGACTAAACCAGGAGTTTCTAAAAGATCCTTCCGGCAATATACTTCCGGCATTATGATAATGAAGATCATAGTTTTCTTTGTCATGAGATGAAGCCAAATGTTCTGCTTTTTTAAAAAATCAAAGACCAGAATTTAATTTAACAAAAAAGAATTTCCAACATCTATGCTATTAAGTAATGGAAAGGAGCATGCAGAAATGTAGCTCTTTCATTAACATAAAAAAATAAATTATTTTTGTTTTGACCTGAGTTGTTTCAACCTGATCGTTTTGGGTCACAGGCTTGAAAAGACTCAGAGGATATGATGATGTCACCAAAGACATTAATGAGATGAGGAAAGAAAGGGAAGAAACGTCAAGTGAGCAGAAAGTCTCCATAATTCAGCTCTTCACCAGTTCCAGCTACCGACAGCCTATTTTAGTGGCATTGATGCTGCACGTGGCTCAGCAATTTTCTGGAATCAATGGGGTAAGTTTAAGAACACCCTCTAACTCTTAGGAGCAAAGTGAATTAGGATAGGGAGGGCAAGAGGTATAAATTTAAATAGCTAATAAACATTTTAAAATGTTGTCGTCACATGTCTTGCTACAACCAACATATATTGAGTCAGCAGTAATTTTCTTTTTTTGTGTTTTGCTTCAACATCTTTCTAACATTAGTTTGCAATTTTTAAAAATGTCAGCAATCAATGGTACTATATGTCCATTAAGATGAAGGTAAAAGGCAAAAGGCATAATTAATACAAGGAGGAAAAAGGAGAATAAAATAATTATATCCTCCCCAAACAAACTAAATTGCAAGAGGCTTCTAGAGTTGAGCATTGAGTAGCCTAGACAAAAAGGAGCCCAGGGTTCCCTTTCTCTATTTTAAAGGAAGTACTTCAGATAGCCAAGTACAAAGAAAAGTTTTCTGCCTTCCAAGAAACCTTCACTTCATTTAGGGAGACAGCACACAAAATAAACAGTAAAGTGAAATGGCATGATGTTGGTGAGTAAGGGTAGTAGATAAGACATGATAGAAAAACATACTGAGTCTTAAATTTGCTAGCTTTTAGATTTTGAATTGAAACCCCTGCATCATGAAGACTAAAATGGTTCTACTGGCAATTAGCTACCAGAAGAAAAAATTAAGCATTTGTTTAAGAAACTATATTTTTAAAAAATCACTTATCCCCTTTCATTGCTGTTAAAAATGTAAATTGGGCTTCTTCTATCCCAAATCCACAAGGGATACTTTGGGGGTGCTTGATGGATGGACAGACACTTGGGAGAGGCAAAGAAAGTACTTCCCATCAGTTAAAGCAAAATGAGCTCCACAAGCTCTGCTGTGGTCTTTGTCCTCCTCTGGGAGGTTGCTGACATTCATTTTTACTAATACTCTGCATATCTTTGCAGCTCAGAGACCAAATTCATATCCCCTGTCTCAGCTCTACCTATATATCCAATGGCACAATACTTAATCTCTCTAAACCTCTCTGCTTCCCCTTCTATCTCAGTGCCTGTCTTAAAGAGGCATCCGCGAAATGTTGAATGTGAGGCTATTGGGCAGCCTAAAAATGGTAGGATAGTGTGTAGTGTGCTGTCAGCCACTACTCACTGAACATAGTCTGCACAGTCCTCCTACATTAATCCCGTCTGTGGGAAGAGGTGCCAGCAACAGGACACATCCAGTGGGGAAGGAATGACAGAGGATTATAGATGACAAAATGACCTGAGAGACTATTATAAATATATAAACATAGCTAAATTTAAAAAGCTGACTTGTGATGTGCGTGTGAGCCATATTTCTCTATCTCTGCTGAGACCAATGGAAATTTTTGGATTAAAGGCAATAGCACCCAGAACTCTTATACATGCTGGTGATACTATAAAATTGTCATAACTTCTTCAGAAAACTGGCAATTATCTATGAAAGCTGAGCATATGCATACCCTACAGCCCAGCAATTCTATTCCCAGGTACAAATACATACATACTTCACTAAAAGGACTGTACTAAAATGTTCATAGCAACACTATCCAAAGCAGCCACCTGCCATAAATACCCATCAATAGTAGAATAGGTAACTAAATTGTGGTATATTAATACAACAAAATATGATATAGTAATGATAATGAACCATCTACAAATACACACAATGAGGATGATTCTTACAGAGGTAATGTTGAACAAAAGAAGCTAGGCACAAAATGATACAGAGTATATGGTTCCATTTACATCAAGTACAAGAGTAGGCAAAATTTGCCTATGATGTCAGAAGTTAGAAGAGTGGTTTCTTTGGAACAAAAGGCAGAGGGACATATAGGGGGGTTCTGGAGGGCTGGAAATGATTTAATTCTTGATCTGGGGTGCTGGTTAAACAGGCTTGCTCAGTTTGTGAAAATTAATTGAGCTTTATACTTACTATATGTGTATGTATGTTATATTTTAACAAAAAGTTTAAAAAGATTTTTTTAAAATAAAGAAAATGCAGTAGCAGAGTTTTCGGCTAAATATAAAGTAATCAGAGACTTTAAACACTAAAGGAAGATGGTGGGTTTTCCTTCTCTGGAAGGAGAGGGTGGAGAAAATCTTTGGGAAGTTCTAGGGACCATACATAGCCCCATAGAAAAAACTAAAAATAAACAACCTAAAATATTTCCAGTTTTAAAGACATCAGTGCCAGGCTTCTTGATTAAGGCCAAATTGTTTTTACTTTGCAGATCTTTTACTACTCAACCAGCATTTTTCAGAAGGCTGGAATCAGCCAACCTGTTTACGCAACCATTGGAGTTGGTGTCGTCAACACTGTTTTCACTGCTGTCTCTGTAAGTAAATATCATAGACAAATACACTGCTTGTTCCTTGGTCCAGAAATGGGGGACAAAATTTGTAATCTAAAAGTGATCAATGACTTATTGTCCACCTGCTCTAGATGTGTAGAACGAAGTGGATCATGGGAAGAATCCTATCTGAATAAGCCAACCACTGCCTTGAAATTAGGCATAACAGAGAAGGGGATCACTGGCTTTCTCCATTGCTGAAATGCCATTTAGTCACTTATTTGTGAATTAATGACTTACTTGGGGGCACAGAGGACTTCCTCCTTGTACAAATCTCTGTACTTAAACCCACTGGGATTAGCTAACAGCTTGTCATTTCTATCAATATTGGACAGTCTGCATAGGTTCCTTTCTTCCTATGGTTGAAATTTTTTTTTTTTTATCCTGGTATCTTGGGTAAAACACCTTAGAAAAAAAGTCCTCTCTAACAGACATTTAAGCCCCTAAGCAAAGGTAAATAGACTCAGTAAATTCCTCTGATGTTAGGCCATTGGGCAGAGCTTCCAGATAGTTCCCAATGATGTGGCTTTTGGTGATGCTCGAGAGTATGCATGGTATTCTGAGAGGATGGGGTAGAAGTGGTATAGAACTAGAAATGTTCCATTTTTTTTCAACAAAAGGAAACGGGGATATACTCTTCTTAAAAGCAAATACCTTATATAAGGAATGATTCAATATCTTGACAACAATAATGTTTAATATAATAATTTAAGAAATAAACAACAAAAACTTTCTAACTAATGTAATTCACTCTAAAATAAGGGTAATTGAGATTATTTTTATCTTTGGCTACAGGATGTTCAAAAGGCTTGTGCTTTACAATTTTGGTCTCAATATTATACTCAACATATTTTAGTTACTTGTTTTTCATTTTCTACACATGGACTCTTGCCTATTACCTTAGGATGATCAATAAATTACAGCCTGGCTGCCTAGATCAAAAGACAGGTTTATCCGGAGCACATTAAACAGTGCTGGACCTTGGAAAGAGCAGGAAGAACAGATAACAACAGAACACCAGTGGTTCTGTAGACATGCCTTTGGAGATAACGCCTGTTCAAACCAAAAGGCCACTCAAAATCAATCAAGACCTGTTTCTGAAATGCAATCCAAGAGACTATTCACCCTTTTGTCTCCTGAAATATTTTTCACAAATCCTAATTCAACATATTTTTATAATATAGAGATTATTATTAAAACATTTTGTGCATAATAGGGTTTGCTATGTAAAGCATCAAGTTGTCAAAATTGAGTAGCCCAAATTCTGAGAAAAATCTAAAGAGAAAGTTTCTGCAGAATTTCCTTTTTGTACCCTGCCCCCAACACCACTGGTGTGGGAAGAGATGTTTTATTTAAGACAGTGTCTTAATTATTTTCAATATACCTTTTTCAGAGTTCATCCTTTCATTCTGTGAAAGTTTTTGAAAAGATGAGTGACATAATTTAAAAAATCAGTCCTAGTCATTAATTGAGCCTCCAGAACTACAGATAACATTTAAAATGTTTAATTATATTTATTTTTGAAAAACTGCTTTAAAGTTCAAAAAGTACAAAAAGGATAATCCCTCAGTCACCCAGTTTCTCTCCCCAAAATTAACCAATGTTACCAAATTCTGTGTGTCCTTTCAAATAAAAATATGCAAATAGGAATATGAACTGAATATATTAATGTTTCACCAACTTGGAAGGAATATCAATCTGTTTTCTCTGAATGAGTGTTTGGGAAAAGAGAGAGACTTTCCCAACTCCACATTGAATTATATTCCATACTCCGAGTTCTCTTCTATGCTAATGGGCTGGTAAGAAGAGAGGCCACAATCTTGAGAGAAAAAACAAAACAGGAAGAAATGTGAGGGATCTGGGAGAGACGCAGCGGCTACCAAACTCCAACAAGGCATCCAGGACGTGAGTGACGCACACTGGGACGAAGGTGAGGGTTATAGCTGGGCAGACATCTCCAACCACTGACCATGTGTCACGCTTGTCACACTCATCCTGAGTGCACATCCAGCCTCAGGGAGAGAGGAGAGTCTGACTCAATTTTCAAGACATGCAGTTTTAGAGTTTATTATCCAATTAATAACAATTTTTCAGAAACAGAGTAAGAGCCTTTATTCCTGAAGAAATGCTTCTGTTTTTTTGGTAGCTTGATATAGTGTCATCAAGCAAGTTTTGAAAGTCATAATTAAAAAGTCAAAATATAGAGAGAAATTTTATGAACTTGAAAAAGGTTTATTTTTTCCTACTTCCTTCTCAATAATTAAATGTGTGTTCTTTGCTTATCATCCTATCTGAAGTGATGTGAAACTCTAATATGAACATGCCTCTCGGATGAAAGAGGCTTTCACTGAGGTGAAAAGAAATGTTTCTCAGATACATTCAGAGCCAGAGCTCACTATACTATAGACACTGGATTGCTGTTGATTGCCTGATAGATTGGTAAGTCTAGCCAATTTACTGACCAAGGTGAGAAATTATGACTGGTAGGTATTTTGGGAGTGGTGGGGAGGAGGAGTGACTCACTAGCCTTGGCAGTATTCCAAGCATCAGGCAAGAGTCTATTCAACAAGCTCTGGTTTGGGCTAGTTGTAAACCTTCACTGTTAATGCAAAGGTCCACAGAACTAAAGAAATCAATGACATACCTCCTCAATTAGGATAAGAGAGCATTTTAACCCTTTGCTTTAAAGTCTTATCTTTTTGAATAAATAGTTCACTCACTCCCAGCACCAGGTACATTTAAACATATCAGAAAAATGCAGACTTGACTATTTGGATACAATGATCAAATTCCACATGTTGCCAGGTGAGTGATCATAACAGGAATTGATGAAGCAGTGGGAAAGCTGGACGAGAGTAGTTGACACCTGAACAGTTGTATTGTTTCAGGTGTCAGTAGTGCACAAACCTTTGTAATTATAACCGAGGATAATTATCAGAAAAGAAATTAATGTCATTTTTTTAGTGTAGAACCTTCACATTTTAAATGTATGGGAAATCTGTTGGGAGAAATCCAAGATGTACAGTCTCTGAATATTGTACCCAAAGTGATAATCCTGGAGTGGTGGTAGCACTATGGTCTACCTCTAGAATGGCCTATTCAAACCAAGGTGACTAAATCAAGCAGCCCATCTGTGACTAGAGTCACTCCCCACCTCAGTGTTACACTTGTAAAATGGAATAATAGAATTGCCTCCTACCTGTTGTAACTTCTTCGGTAGTAAAAACGATTTAAGTAAAAAGTCAGTATTTTGTGACTCATAAAACTGAGATAATATTCTTTAAAACTCTCCTAGGTGTTCCTTGTGGAGAAGGCAGGGCGACGCTCCCTGTTCCTAATTGGAATGAGTGGCATGTTTTTCTGTGCCATCTTCATGTCGGTGGGACTTGTGCTCCAGGTAACTTTGGTGCCTGCACTGAGATTTTGGGTTACCATATGACAGCACCTCTGTGCTCCAGGTTAAAGTGATTTTATGTCAAAAAACATTTGAGATTGACTGATGCAATAAAGCTAGAGGAAGAGCATATAATACAAAGGAGAAATATAAAGGAAAGAGGGACTAGTTTCTTGGGTTTAAAGACAGAATATCAGCATGTAAATTGTGCTTGTTATCCAGGAAGGCAGCGTAGCACATGGTTAGAGCACAGGCTCTGGAGTCAGCCCCAACTGGGTTCTGATGCTGGCTCTGCCGCTTGGCTGCCTGTGTGACCTTGGGTAAATACCTGAACCTCTCCTTCCCAGGATCCTCACCTACTACTTCACAGGACTCATGCGTCTTGTCTAGCAACCTCGGGATGAGTAAGAGCAAGGTCACTGGATCCTTGCCTTGCCTCACCCCTTCACAGGAAAGCAGTGACTAAGGGTCATACGAAGTCCTAATCCAGGGGATTTCCTATAACATGGCTCAAAAGATTTAAGCATGATATAAGACTAGAATAATTTGTACTTGATGGAACTAAACACATTAGAAAGGGAGCTATGCCCACCTATGAACTCAGTGAGAGGGCTACTTAGCTAAAGAAATAAGCAGACAATGACCTAAGCACCACTTTTGCTTTTGTTTTGTATTTTCCTCAGGATAAGTTCGCTTGGATGAGTTATGTGAGCATGGTAGCCATCTTCCTCTTTGTCAGTTTCTTTGAAATTGGGCCAGGTCCAATCCCCTGGTTCATGGTGGCTGAGTTTTTCAGTCAAGGACCACGCCCTGCTGCTTTGGCAATAGCTGCGTTCAGCAACTGGGCCTGCAATTTCATTGTAGCTCTGTGTTTCCAGTACATTGCGGTAAGCAGCCTGATATTATACAAATTTACTGAACAGAAGATAGGGTCAAACAGCTGTTGGAACTCTTGTGTTTGTTCTCTCTGCAGGACTTCTGTGGGCCTTATGTGTTTTTCCTCTTTGCTGGAGTGCTCCTGGCCTTCACCCTGTTCACATTTTTTAAAGTTCCAGAAACCAAAGGAAAGTCTTTTGAGGAAATTGCTGCAGAATTCCAGAAAAAGAGTGGCTCAGCCAAAAAACCAAAAGCTGCTGTGGAAATGAAATTCCTTGGAACTGCAGAGACTGTGTAAATATAAACTGCTTTTGACATGAACAGAAACAGTAAGGGAACTGTGTGTTTTTGCACACACATCTTGAACTATTGTTTTATTTTTTAAAGAGCTTTTATGGGCTCTGATCAGAAATGTCATCAAATATTACCAAAGAAAGTATTTTTTTAAAAGTTAAAGAATCTATTTTTGATGGTAAGACTCTATAATTAAGTAAACCAAAAAGGCTAGCTCGTTTTGTTACGCTAAAGGGCCAGTGGCTGGGTGCGGTGGCTCACATCTATAATCTTAGCACTCTGGGAGGCCGAGGCGGGAGGATCCCTTGAGGCCAGATATTCAAAATTAGCCTGAGCAAGAGTGAGACCCCATCTCTACCAAAAACAGAAAAATTAGCTGGGCGTGGTGACCTGTGCCTGTAGTCCCAGCTACTCGGGAGGCTGAGGCCAGGAGATCTGCTTGAGCCCAGGAGACTGAGGTTGCAGTGAGCTATAATCACGCCACTGTACTCCAGCCTGGGTGACAGAGTGAGACCCTGTCTCAAAAAAAAAAAAAAAAAAAGTATATTCTAATATTCCCAGCTCTATTCTTTATAACAAGTTTCTCCTGAAACTGAAGAAGTTTCAACGTGTTATATTATTGCTTCATTAGCCCATTACTAGAAACCTGAAGATACGACTAATATTTATATATTTGAATACGATTAAATTGGAATTTTCTTACCACAGGTCTTATACTAAAGGAGGTATGGCTAGTGGAAGTAAGATTTATGGTAAAATTGACAACTGTTCCATTTCTCAGCTATTTTTTGAGTATTAGAATTTATATTTTGTTTAAATTTTTTTTCTGAATTTTCATGTGGAATGGTTTATTGAGTATATTAAAATATGTTTACAGAGAAAAACTTTTATTTTTGGTAGGCTTACCAAAATCAGTATTCAGGAAAAGAAAATTTTAGTTCCTTCATTTGACGACCAAATGTTTTTTGCAAGATGAAACACTAAAAAGGTTTCACCTAGTCATATATCCTGGGTTATCAGCTAGTATTACTATCTATTATAAAACCATGTTAATTCCTTGCTGGTTAAATCCTTTGGGTTACCTTTTGTTTTGCTTTTTAATCAGCACAGCTGGTTTTCTGAGCTGTGTTATAAAATACAGTCAAATGATCATGAGTCAGGCATTTTGTATATTGGCTGAAAGCTCTAATAAGTCAGATCAGCCTAACTTAGGGAAATTTGAAGTAAGGGATTGTTCTATTTTGTTAAAAATATTTTCTGAATAATTATGTCTCAAAATAAATTGAAAAGGTAAGGTTAGAGGATTCCTGAGGGTGGGCTTCTGAAACTTGTTGATCGTTTAATTTCAGATTTGATCAAAATCGCTATTTAATTTTTCCAGAAAAAGTTGCCTAACAAGAAACAATTGTCCCCTTTGACGTTTCCTTCTTTGTCTTAACCATATACAGATTCTATCTAAACTCTTCCATTGCCATTACTAACATTTATTGTGTACTACCCATTTGCTTTTACCTATGTAGGCGAATTGCAAATACACAGATAATTAAACAGACTTCAGCTTACAGTCAATTTTACAGTTATAGAAATAGAGTTCTGACGGATACCAGAGGCTTAGAAAGGGAGCTAATATATCTCCAGGCTGTTTTTCCCACAAAACAGAGCACTGAATCAATCCTTCTTATGTTTGCTTTAATGTGCATTGAAGAAGAGCACTTTTTGAAAAGTACTTTTTAAGAGTAAAAAAAAAACACTGAAAATTTGTTTTTATCTATTTACTTATTTTTGCCAAAGTTGTTCACATCTATGTAATTTGACAGTCCAAATAACTTGAAATTATTTGTTTTCACTTTGATTTTTTTTTTCCTTTGGGCAAATTTGGAATAAACCATTTTCACTTGGGACTTCAGGATACAGTCAAAGTGACCTTAAATAGTTCAGGAGATCTTTGTGCTAAACTGAACTACTGAACTCTGTACAAAAATGTAGGCACTCTGAATAGGACAGGAGTGGGAAACGGCTCCTGGGTGACTCTTTTGCTCTTTAGGATGCGATGGCCTTTGGGAAGCCCAAAGTTACAATGATAAAGGAGTTTAACATTTTTATAGGCTGTGAATATGATTTAATCAAGTCACTATTCCAGATCTCATTTACTAACAGAATAAAGTAGTAAAGGTTTAAATAAAGAACACTAAAGACTACTTTTAAGTTCTTATTAGCTATTTTGACTGGCCCACAAACACCAGAAATTCAGATTCTAAAGTTTTCTGCCTCAGAGAAATGTACCCACTTTACATTGTTTCCTTTCTACAATTTTTTTCTTGCAGAGATACATGTGCATTGAAAGAAATATTAAGGGGAAATAAGCTGATAAAGCTTTATACAGGACCAAAGAACTAGCTTAATAATAATAAAAACTCTTAGGTCTTCAATGGTATACATCATAATAATAAAATTGATACTAATTAATTAGATATGGTCCCAGGGAAATTAGATGTGAGTTTGAACACTTAATTTTCCAAGTACTCCATCATTTTTGTGGAAGTGTTTTCATATTCTAACATCCTTACAAATGTGATTTTTCTCTTAGCTTGTTTGCTGTACAAAGACTAGACTTCTTGGCCTAGCTATTTACCTGCTACAACTAGATATTGCCCACTGCCATGACACCCAGGAAAGGATCTTATTTAACTTCCTCCTCCCTACTTTCCTCTACACGATCGATGGGCACTGTAATGCTAAGATGCAGTAAGGCATTGTCCTCTCCCCTCACCCCCCATTTCAAGGAGCTCACGGTCTAATGAGGAGTTCAGGAAGACCAGGGTGTTAGTATCCCCACCTGTGTCTTTTGCCTTCCATGAACCTGGGTTTGGAGCCCTCTTTTGTAAAATGGGCACAGTAATGTTACCTACCTCAGAGAGTTGTGAGGATTAAGTGTAAAGTGCTAACTGTTACCTAGAATTAGTATTCACAGTGATACTGTTAGGATAAAGGATTATCATATATAAGATAGATCCAAATTTTTCTTTTGAATAAAAGGAATTTGTTCAAGATAATATTTTCCTTTTTTATGGCCTGAAAAATAGTTCAAAAAACAATATTTTGTTACTTCAAAGAAACAATCTCATGACAACAAGAGAATAATAAAAATCAGGGGTGATATTAGGTGATCTAATTCTTAAATCCAAACTTGATATTTCTAAGTAAGGTTATAAGAGTTTTTATTATGTTTTTAAAATTTGCTTTTGCCTAAGTTATGTTAGTTTTTAAGGCATCTATATGTAATATTTCTTAGAATAATACTAAGTATAAGATAAAATATTATATATCATACTTAAATGTAATTTAATGGGATTATAATCACAGGAAAAGACCAAATCTTGTTGATAATCCTCAATAATTGCAAAATGTTATATACATGTAAACCAGCATATATGCATAAGCTACTTCTTATTGCTAGCTTAACTGTTACATATGTAGCAAATACAGCAGTCCAGGCAATATCTTGTACTTACAGGGTCCTAAACAGAGGTGCTGAGTAAAGTATAAAAATATCTATAATGTATTATATATATAATTTTTCATTACAATTCTATATTAGTGGCCAGGGGAGAAAATGTTTATTGCCAATCAGTCTGATCCATCTGCTGGCATTTTTACTGCTTTCTAATTTGGTGTGCATTAAAAAGAATTATCATGAAAAGAAACTAGTTTTAGTTGAGAGTATATATTTGTTACGGTTTTATGTCAATAAATATATTTCTGAATGTTTGGTGTTGCTTTATTTTACATAAAATATAGCCACATTTTAAAAACTGATATTGGTTTACTGTATATTCTCATTTCCTTCTCATAGCATTTTCCCTATTCTCATTTTAGGGATAAAATATGAGTTTTTTAAGCCCAAATTTTATTTTTATCTGGCAATTGTTTTGATTATCAGTAGTAGAAAAGTCTAAGTAACAATCTTACTTAGCCTTAATAGATGAGGAATAAATGACTCCCTTTGATGAAATTAAAAATAATTTAATTCAGCAAATATTTAGTTGAGCTCCTATAATGAATGAGATACTTTGTTAAAGTTCTATGAAACAAACAAGATTAGAAAATATGGTTCCTATTCTCAGTCACCTGAATTCTCATAAAAGGTATAAGATTTGAAAACAAATAGTTATAGTACTATAAATACTAAAGGAGAGAATAGAAAGAACTATAAGTCAGTGGTTTTCAAATTTTTAAATTGCCACCTAAATTTTTTCA